CTAAAGTTAAGTGGGTAATGAGTGCCATAGAGCGACAGAACCTTGAAAATGGGAATCAAGCTATTGAACTGCTACCCCTATAGACTTGTATGTGTGTGTGTATGTGCATGTGCGTACGTGCATGTGTGTGTTTCTCTCTCCTCTATACATACTAAACTTCACTGATTACTTTGTTGATTGATCTATGGATAAATCAAAGTCAGTTGAGATGGCATGATTTTTAAGATTATGTGAGTAGTTTCTTCTGCTTAAGCCATTATATCTATATATAGATGTGATTTCAGTATGAGCTTTTGGCTTGTCTCTTATTTTATCTCTTACCAATCTCCTTAGTTTACACAAACTCCCTTTTTTCCTCTGCCATTTTCATTTACTTATAGAATCTTTACGTATTCCAGTATAAGAAGTCATGCCGAGGAAGAAGCGTTCCCGTGTCCCCTCGAGGGCAAAGCCAGCCCTGCCCGATGACTCCAGTGAGCCAGACATGGAAGCAGAACAGCGCAAGGAGAAGCTGAAACTCCTGCTGGAGGACTTCGATCTGGAGGGTAAGACTAGAACTTGTGCATGCTTGTGATACTCAATGAGAATGAATAAAGGGTAATGGTAATGTCTATAATACAGAGTTTACAGTGGCATACAGCAGATGGTAATACGGTGGATTTCTTGCAGTTCAAAGAAGGAAGGCATTGATGGAGGAAGAAATCAAGAATATTCAGGAATCTATTCAGCAAATCTACAGAATTGACCTTCTTCGTTATCCTGAAAAAACGAAGAAGATGCTCTGGGTCGATCACCTTAAACAGGTATATAATTTGAGTTTCTTCCTAAAGTTAAAGGTTCTAAAATCAGGAATTTGTTGATGTTACTAATCATGGCAGTTTTCAAAACAACTTTTCCTGATAATTATATTTACTATGGTCTATCCAGGGTATTCAAAATTAACTAAATTTGTGATGAGAGACATAAAATCTTCTGTGTCTTCACTGTTCCAACAAAGGCAAATAAACCAATCTAAAGTATATTATATACCTTAGATAGGTTCTTTGTTTGATAATAAATTGTCAGGGAGATCTACAGGCTGTATCTGGAACAGTGATTCTTAACCCTACCCTTGTCCTATATCCTTGTGAGTGGATGTATTTTTCCATTTACTCCCATCATGCTATTGCTCCTATAAAGGCAGAAAAGTCATGTCATTAACAGCAAAAACTTTTTTTTTTTTTCATTGAAGGTCTTGCACAAAGTAGCATGTTACCTGGTGTCAGTGAAAGTGGGTTAAGACAAGTTTATTAAATAAATGTTTGGGTATAGCCATACAATGTCAGCCATATATTTGAATGAACTAAAGAATGTAGAAAGTTAAACACACATAAGATGCATTGAAGTATGTTAAGGACCATGAAGAAAATCCCTTTGCTACCCAGAATAATTTTATGCTTTTCAGACATAAGGGAACTGTCAGTGGATTTCTTCAATTATTAGGGGGGGGGGATCATAAATAATATATATGATTCATTCTTCACTAGACAGTCATGTAATGAAATTTAATAACCAAATTTATAAAGATTAAACATTTGACTTTTAAGAGGGACTGTACAAGGTCCCTATGGAGGCAATACACTACATATTTTAGCTATGTATTTATTCCTAACATTGATTCATAATTCTATGAACAAATGCCCAAAAATTCAAAATGTAGCAATTTCCGGAATCTTATATAATTGCAACACTCACAAAATCTATATAATGGCTGGTACACATCAGCTGACATTTCTTTCTCAGCAGTGGATGGTACTGTTTTTCTGTGCATTAGTGCTTTGATGACTTTCTTCTACTTCTTGTACAGTTCTATCATTCTATTGCTTCAATAACTGTAAAATACAATGCCAGTGATGTAGAAAGCAAAGGAATGGAAATAAACATAGAAGTATCTGGGGAAATTACTTTAGTCACTTCTTGGCTTGATATCTTGAACTGGTAGGTTCTTTGCACATGCATTGATATTAATCTGTTGGTATATGGCTGATTATAATGGGACTTACTTATTTTTAAGAGCAGACACATTGTGGTGTTTCTTTGATTAAGAATGTACATGTTAGTATTTTCTTTATGATATAGAGAAATAGTGTAGACTGAATATTTCTTAGATTCATTTTTTTCTATATGAAACTAATGGAAAAGTGTAATTATTTTGTGGACTACAATCATACGATTATGTCGGTTTCATGTGTTTGCAGTTTTTCACAATCTTTTTTTTGTGTGTGTGTGTGTGTGTGTGTGTGTGTGTGTGTGTGTGTGTTCTTTTTCTGTGAATCTTTGAGTTATGAAACTGAGATTTAGCAGGTGATCTGTATGTGAAAGTAAATATATCATATATTGGTTTATCCAAATCTACCGGTAAATAAGTTAGTGATTTTCACCAAAGGTCCCCTTAACCCCTACAATCCACGTCATGAAAATTTTGACTTGAGTGGGAAATTTTGGCTATTGACTGAGATGACACGATTTTGCCATCGTGAGCATTTCAGCTGAAGACACAGAGCTCTTGGAGGGTGATTAGACTCGTTTGGAAGGGACTTTGACTATGTTTCTATCGATATATGAATGTGGAATGTAATGTCCATGAGCCGTGACTGGAAGAGCATTGGCTTCAGGTAGCACATCATTTTCAGGAATCATGATTCAATTCCTGCCTGCCATGATTAGTGGTGCAGATGGTATTACAGAAAATTGAAAATTATGAGAAAAAAAAGACTAATAGCAAAATGTTATTTAACATTTTCATTAAAATAACAATTTTATTTATATTTTTGTTATTATGATTGCATGGAGTTATAGACCACCTAGAAAGATGATATGTAGTCTGCAAGGAAAACAGTCTGTTACTATCTGGATCAAGCTTATCCAATAACAGTTTTAGACATTGGAGAATGGGATAAGAGCATATGCAGAAAAAGAGAAAACATGGAAAGGAGCGACATAGAATCTTGTCACTGCACACAAGTGTTCATTGTGCCTGGCCTACAAGCTGAAGACCTGGCATGTCTGTTCCTGTAAGCCTAATGCTCATATTTTGGGCCACATTATGGCAGTGAAGTATCCGAATCCAAAGGTTTGATTGGACTTGATAAACAGATCATTATTCTTTGCAGTTAGTGTAGTCTGTCATAATATTAACCCAATGACAATGGGTTTATGTGGTCCCCTGTATTTTTTGTGATTTTTGTTACATACAGTTGGCTCCACACTCCCCACTCCTTGAATTATTATTTTTATTTTTTTCTAATACTTTTAATATTGACATTGTTATTATTGTTATTAAAATATTAACAATATTAAAGACAAGCAAATAATACAAATAAAGCTTTCCAAAAGAAATCAAGGAAAGGGGAAATCAGGTGAGATAGGGAAAACTTATAACTGACTCGTTGGTGTACCAAGTACTTGTAAAAACAATAGATGAACTTTTATTACAGTGGGCATGGCATTGTAGTTTTGCCATCAGTGCCCATTGGCTTAAGTGAATAATTTGAAAGTAACTTGGGAATTTTCTTAGGCTATGAAAGTAGCGAAGGGCATAGTAATCAGGTCAAAGTATACAATTATTTTGAGTTTAAGACCTTATTTTAGTGTAGAAATATCCGTATATCAGTATAAGGCAGATAGGAGAGATCTTTATATGAATACAGCATATATAGAAGATATTGGACAAATAATGTAATGCTCGCTCTCATGTTCTGTATTTCTTTCTCACATTCTATTTCTCACCATTTTATTCTTATGTTTTGCAGCAGAGTAATCAAGAGGTAAAATCCTCTGCAAGAGATAGCTTAGTCAATATTATCAGCTCGGCTGATAGTATCTTACAATCTGCGGCCAAAAAGAGAGCAGGGCGACCCCGGAAGGCCGTAGCCACTGTGGAGGACAATGGGTTTTTGGCTCCTGTTACAAGAAGTGAGTCATATGTTGTCAGCTTGTTGAAATTCATGCTGTAGGAAGATTTGTTGTTCATTTATAATTGTGTTTTTATTTGTTTTTATTTATTGTTTTTCATTTGTCTTTTTCTTTCTTTGTGTTTGTCTTTCTTTCTTTCTTTCTTTCTGTCTTTCTGTCTTTCTTGCCATCTGTTCTGTTCAGCTTAGTTTCAGTTCAAGATTGGCTTTATAATCCAGAGTACTTTACTCTTATAGCTAAAAGGGGAAAGGTTGATTTCTATGCTTTTAAATAGGTTTACCTTATTTGACGTTTCTCTGCAGGTACTCGAGCTACTCGTCAAAAGCCAGTTTTTGGTAACAGCCAGGTTGACAATATGCTTCCTCCACCTTCAACTGGCAGACGTCAGAGAACGAGAAAAGTGGTATGAAAATGCTTACATTGGTTTATTTTTTTCTTCCTAGTATACTGAAAGTCATTCTAGATAAGTGAACAACTTGAAGTGCTTAGTATCAGTTACATAATAAATTTACAGTTATTAAAGGTCACTATCTACATTACTATTTTGAAATTGGATCTTTTAAAAGTTTTCATGAATAACATACCATAAGCAGTGACATATGTATGCAAGGCTTTGAAGCAATGTTTTCATATTCATATTTCTTTTTTTCTTTTTTTCAATTAACCCAGGATGTTGCAGCTACTCCTGCCAACCAGAATATTCCCCCAAGCTTTATGTCATCCATGCTGGTGACTCCAAAATTTGATCCACGAACACCACTACCTCCAGGGACTATAAAGAGAAAGCCAAAACTTGGAGAAATTGCAATATCACTCACTGGGTCCCCCTTGCAAGTATCACCAGCTGTTAAGCCAAACTATGACATAAAGGTAAGGACTTTTTCCCATAGTTGTATTTTGTAAAATCATAACCTTTTTGTGTAGGTCTACCTATTTGCATATAACCCAAGGCCAATGCATGGTTTTCATTGGGTTAAGGAGCCCATTCATTTGATGTATGTTTCAGAACATAAAATATACACTTAAAAGTGCCAAGATAAAAGGTAATCTTAATAATTAATTAAAGGGGGTAAAAAAACTGAACTGGGATTCTACCTCTAATTTTAAAAACAATTTTGACAGTATCACCACCTTACAATACTGCCATTGATATTAGTTTTCAAATCAGTATTGCTACTCAGTTACTGGGCTTAGCTGACCTCACCTTACCCCATTCCTTTTTTTCTAGTTCTCTTTGTTGTTACTCTATTATTGTTATAATATAATTTAAGTCATTATCATTGTAATGACCATAATAATGATGTTAGTAATAGAAATATATATTTTTTCCAAATATTCAAGGAAAAGGGTTAACAATAGGCCTAATAACTGAAATGTGGTGACTACATACTTTTGAAGCCATTTATGTGTAAATAATGAATAAAATAGTGCCTGGCATTTAAAAATTCTGATTTCATAGATTGGGGTTTTACTTGGAATGCTATGATTGAAGTAATACCCTTGCATTTTCAAAGGACAATGCAAAGCAAGACCTTTGATCAACTTACTCATATAAGGCTTGCTGCCGGGGAAAATAAACAAAAAATGGGGGAAATGCAGTACTCATTTTTTATATTTCTGTGAAATATCTCTGTCCATAGATGGCTCTGCTAGTCCTGATTTCACCTTTCCTTGGATTGGCGGGAAAAAACGTACTCTTACTAGTGCTATAAATATAAATGGTGTTATTTTTAACAGCAAATTAGGGTAACGTTAAATATTTTCGTAAATCGATGAAAAGGGTGAACGGGCGAGACAGGCAGTACTCGTAATTGGCTCATTGGATACTTAGTACAAGTGTAGCCATCTTTGTGTAAAAACAATCAAACAAGTCGACTCACAGTGGGCATGGCATGTACGTACATGCCATCCCCGGCGGGAATGGGTTAAGTCATAGTTTTAATTGACAAGTAATGTAATGTTAATTATCTATTACTTCATACATTTATGTATATAAAAAATTGACATAGTATTAACCCAATGGCGCCGGGTGTACAAAACAAAAAAAAAACTCTACGCTTAAACAAACAAAGGCAGCGCGCCGACTTTGAGCGCGTGAGTAGGGGACATCAGCCCGAATCACTGGCTCGCCGCGCTTTGGCGCGCCGCCGGCTCGTTCGGCTGCACACCAGCTTTCGAGCGCTTTGTTTACACGCCGATCGGTGTCACCTGGCACCAAGGGGTTAATAAGACTTATTGATTCCCTTCTGGTTGTGCATGAAGAGGTAATTGCAGGTTGACTAAGATTGTTCTGTTTTCATTGTTTGATTAATTTAATTTCCTTTTTCTGTTTACAGGCCTTAATGCAAAACTTAGACCAAGATAAACTGGATGAAGAGACAAGAGCAGAACTTGAGGAATTCCATGCTAAAGTAGGGAAATTGCTGAATATGTGAAAAGCCAATTTTTCCCCCTTTTTTCCCAAAGAGATGAAGTGTCTTGTCAAGGCACTGCTAAGTGTAGATATTTTGTGATTCAGGCATGCATTTAAGATTTATGCTATATAGAATCTTTTGCTTGAAAGGTCAGAACCTAAGTTGAATGTCTGTAGTACCTGTGCAAGATCATATTCCTCTTGAATATGATATATCTCATAACAATAACTATAACCTAATGTATTCAGAAATGATGTGTGGATATGTATGGACATTTTTTTCTTGGAAGGAGGTGCTACAGTTATGTATGAATACTGTAATACTGTATTTTAGATTAGAATTTATTATCACAAACTATTATGATAGGCTAAAGTTAGATACTTTTCCATTATATAAGCTTAGTCTCCCATAGTACATAGTTTATGGTCCTGAAAATGATTTTTTCTGTCCTTTATGAAATCTATATCAAGATGAATTCAACAGAATTCTTGCATGATTTGTAAACATGTATAGTTAACTGTAGCTTGTACCTTCAGATGCCTCCATTAAGGATTTTTTTAAGAGATCCATATTATTGCACTGCTGCTAAAGTTGATGTTTAACTGATCATATCTCAAAAAAAAAAAAAAAAAAAACTTTAGATTTATTGCAGCAGCAAGTAAATGGACATTGTACATAGAAAGTTTTTATGGTAATTATGAATCTTTTTATAGCAGAGGGAAAATATAAACTGGATTAGACATTTTTTCTTTTTTATTCTTACATCAACAATTATGACAGCGCACAACTTGTAATAAACAAGAGAAACAACAGAAATGGCTCAAAGACCTGAAGAGTCTCTTGCCAGTCTGCTTTGGAACAAGGAACATACAATATCAGTTCTCATACAACAAATACATGTTCACACATCGTAACCACTTTCCCACAAAAAAAAAAGAAAAGAAAAAAAATATATAAAGAAAGCAATATTTTGCTGCAGTTAGTAAAATATTTTTTTTACAATCAGACTACAAAGTAAATACTGAATGAAGTAAAATTTTCTAGAGACCTGTTAGTCCCTCGAAAAAGAACACAATAATCTCTGCAGATATGATCAAAGCTGATAACTTTGAGGCTGCAAGACTTCGAGTAAGTGAAATGTAATGGGTTCCTATTGTATTAGTGGTTCCTTACTCCAAGTTTGATACACTAAAGAAAGCAATCTGTTTACATGATACTATGCTGAGAGTTTGGGTTGCTTAAGAATGGATAATGCTAGACTTAGGTTCACAAGGTTAATGTTCAAGTGTAGTTTATGCTGTAGCATTACATTTTCACATCAAATTTCGACATAAAAAAAAGAAATAAAAATGAAAAACAGTCAAATGCAGATACACTGTTATTTCAAACAAGAATTAATTACACATCCATCATCTAACCTTTGTCAACCAGATCCTAAGAATTGTGCATACTGAAATATAAACTAAGTGTCACTGCAAATGCCTGAAAACACCGAGACTGCACTACAAATTTGAACTAACTTCAGTCAAGGTGAAATGTTGCAGTTTTCAGAGCCTGTTATGGTGCAGAAAGTAACAATAAAAACCAAAATAAATCAAAATGGTTACACGAGCCTTTTGTCACTTTATTGTGTAGGGCTTCTAGACATCATTACAAATCATGAAAGAAGTCAATGTAAATGTTCAACAGTTCTGATTCATCTACTAACAATAGAAATAAAAACTGATGCCACAGATAAAACAACATAATCACCAAATATAAATCCAGACTTTTTTTTTTTTTTTTTTTTTTTTTTGAAAAAAAAAAAAAAAAAAAAGAAAAAAAAAAAAGGCTTGCCAAATTTTTACCACTATTACTAGTTTTTACAGAAATTACTGTAGTATTTTCCCACCCATTACAATTATCACAACTTTTGGATGGAGAAAATATATAAATATAGAGAAAAATAAAGAAAAAAACAAATCACATTAAGTGTACTGGCCTAAAAAGTAAGTGTTCTTTTCAGCAGTAAAGTTGGACCTGCAATAATTCATTCAAGAAATTTGCTCTCCAAGTAACAGATGTACAGTAACATTGCCATGGGGGGTAAAAGAGAGAAAAGAAATAGTTAAATCAAGTTTTTAAAACATCAGTGCCTGTTCTCATTTCCTATGAACCATATCAATGCTCATTAGCAACCTAGATTGAAAATGCATGACAATCATTTTGGCTTACCTGTTAGTTCTATGGGTTTCTTGGAGCATTGTGCAAATTCTAGTGAGTGACAAGACCATACATGAATGCAACAAATGTGTTTACATAGTCAGCATCTCCAATGAATGTGATAAAAAGCTATAGGAAGTAAAAACAAGAAAAGGGAATAAAATCCATAAGGTTAAGCATGATTTGACACAATACACATTTCCCTTGGTAAAATCACTATAATTTTTTTGCAAGTAAATAATTGCAGATACACTCATGATTTTGACATACACAAAGACAATAATCACATACTAGAGGCATGAGAGCCCAAGAGAATCCTTAAACCTGTTACAGTAAAAGGATTGCTTTAAAGGTTGTATTTGTACTCAAGTATGTACTCAAGTATACATATAAAATTTTAATTCATATGAATACCTGCAAATATTATTGTTTCATTATGGCAAAACAAGAAATCCAAGCTGATGCATCAAAGTCGTCAGGTGTGTAAAATATACATGAGCATACAGGATCTACATTCATCTTTCAAACTGATAATGAAATTTTCTTATGAATATAGTTTCAAGATCAACACTATAGCCATTGGGAAAACATCTAGATAAAACAGACAAATATATAATACTTATCACATAAGTAATGTTCATACAATTAAGCAATATACTGATAAAAAATCCTTGGATAGCAGTAACTCTCCAATATCTTTACTAACACAAAAATTTAAAACACATTTGTAACATCAACAACAATTGCACTTAAAAGCCTTTATTTTGATAAAGTAAAAACTATCATAACACATATATATATCTAACTTTGGAAAAAAAAGGAAATAAAGACTACCTGGCAAGCCTGGCAAGAATCAATTTCAAAATTATGAAAATCTATAAAATAACCAAATGTTCTAAAAATGTACGTTTCCCTCAAATCTATCTTTACTAAATTCCGCAGGGAAACTTTTACAAATTAGTTTAAAGCCAATTCATGTAATCATTTCATCATTAAGAAATGGTATGTTTCTAAAAAAAAACTGGCAGATCAGAATTATTCAGGACAAATTTCATATTGGCAGATTTTTTTTTGCCTCATAATATGGAGAAAAAAACATACTGATGCATGCATAAATTTCAATATAAATGTCTTTGTCTAGTAATGGGTGTCCTTCATGTATAGAACTCAACTATATACTAGTACAATAAACAATGATTTCCAAAATAAAACTTAAGTCATAAGTTTCACATGCTGTTCATTATCAATATAAGCAGAGGGCCTCCAATGAACAACAGATACTTGTTCCACTGATCCATCTTTTCTTTAGTTCTGACAAAGCACAGTGAGTGATTTTTGTAGACAATATGTACATGTTCCAGAAAAGAGAAACTTGCAAAAAAATAAGGGTCGAGTCTATAGTTAACAAAGTTATACTTTTCATTTCATAATCTATAGCAAAGTATTAAGGCTTATAATCATTGTCTTAATATCTACCCTTATATATGTAGTTTTTTTTCAGTCAATCAATTTGGAGTAACATGTGTCTTCAGTTTTACTCCACATCTATTGCGAGCTTTAAGAAAAAGAAAAAGTTTTTGTTTTATTTTCACTACAAATTTCATTTGTACTAAAGGCTGTTTAATTACGTGTGATATTTAATTGTCCCCAAAGCTTTTCAATTTAAGGAATGACTCGGAAAAACACAAAGGCTCCGCTAAACATACTCAAATCCCGGGGAAATAAACTAATTTTGAAACATATGATGCTCTTCTTTTCTAATTTTTTCATCCTTAGGTAAACTAACCCTGCCTAACTTTGTTAATATTAACCGTTGACACATTTTTACATGATATTATAGAAGAAATTATCAAATAGATGATTGAAGGTAAGTGTACAACTATTGCACCATCTGACAAGAGTACGTAATTTTTCATGTACATAAAATGGGATTCAAAAGCTTGAACAAATCATAGTCTTTACAGATGGAAACATCTAGATGAATAGATAACACACTTACTCCTTAGGAAATGAAGAAAAGCTACATCATTCTAACCCTATACACATCTGCCTTCATATGCATTGGTATGCATAAAGTTAAATGTGGTACTAAGAAGTGAAAAAAATCTCATCACAGCCTTTTGTGGCTCAATTATCAATCATTCTTACTCATTTTTTTAAGGTAAATGTCCATTTTATCTCACTCTTCAGCTTTTCAATGGTCATGTAAAATAAGAGTATACACTAACAAAAAATAAATAAATAGATAAATAAAACAAACCAATTCTTAAAATCAAAAGCAGATTGCATCAAGCAGTCTGTCCATTCTGATATTAATAAACCTATATCTGTATATGATTACATCTAGACTTTTATATGACTATTCACAAACAGGCCTCAATGGGCATTATCCATGCTGTTTATACAACAATCTGGAAGAGCTTTGCTGAAATTTTCTGTTTTCTATAAAAAGAACTAGGAAGATTTACAGTTAGTGTATGTCAATTCTGAAACGAAAGCAAAATACATAAAATCATTCCCCTCACCTCACTGAATGCCATTTCTAATTAATCAGCATTCGCGCTAACAAGACCGTCCTGCCTTGCCTTACTGGACGCCATCTTTTACCGTCTTGACAATCAACATAGCTCTTTGAATTGTTGCATTTGACTGGAGAACACAGAATACATAATTATGCTTCACAGGCTTTCATTTCTTGCCAATGTCCACTTCACTCGAAGAAGTATTTTAATCTAAGCACTCTAATGGCCCATAATCACAGGCAAAGGATAAAATCTCTACACAATTTCCAAAGACACAGGTACCAACACCCCCCCAACTCTTCCCTCCATCAAATAAGCGTCATAAACAAACAGATCGTCACACAGAATACAATATTCATTCCTTGTCAGCAACAAGGGTAAAAAATTTGTTTTATTGCACCTTCTTGAGCTTGTCATCCATGATTATGACAAAGGTACAGCTTCTCAATCACAAAAACCTGGCACTAATGCAATTCTCTTATTGTATAAAAAGCCAGTGACTTAAGACTACAACTTATGCACATTACAACATATAGTACTTTAAAAGTAAAGACTGAATTCCTTGTATTCTACAAATAAAACTGTTTGGGTTATCGTCTATGGAAGCTTTGTCATAACAATTTATCAGCAAGTGATATTTTTCAGCATATAAAATATTCATTACAATGTATTCTTAACAGACAAAAGCTTACTTTGAATTATTTGTATCTATGCATTTGGCTACAAATTTCAGATATGATCCTCTGGCTATTTTCCTTCACATGATGTATCGACATTGCACATTTGGATCATTTATAGCTATACTTTAGATAGCTGAGTCGCAGTATTTGCCTACATCTATGAATTGTGTTCTATCATACCCTGGAAAAATATCCCCATAAAACTGAACTAGAAAATAAGCCAAAACCAACAGACTGATTTATCAATAGAAAATTAAAGTGCAGAATCTCCCCTGAAATTTTTGCTGCAAGTTATCTGCATCTCTATCTATTCATCAAGTATAAGACATGCAGATACATTTACACACAGCTAAACCTCAAGCCTTGAATCATGTCTTTGAGCAATTGCACCTCCAGCATACAGTGTGACATTTCCAGTGTGTCCAACAAGCCTGAACAGATGGTATCAAGCAGATGTGATCTGCCAGACAGTCAAGATTGTGGATAAAGATCACCCATTATCATAATTTAATAAGTAGATTTCCTGACAAGCAGCAGCAATAAACACATAACTACTGTATCACCTTCAGAAGTAAACAATGAAGTTAGCAAAAGAAGTGCCTTGTGGATACATTTCGCCCTCTATCTATCTGCTCATCAGGTCTTTTGACCGGCCTTACATCATTTTTTTTATGTGGTTTGTCATTTCATCTCAGTCAATGAACAAAGAAAAAATAATATGTTATATAATCAGATAAAGTCTGATAGCAGCCAAAGACAGACACAAAAGAAATTCTCATGCAAAGCAAAGCAAGTAACTGATAACTTGAAAAAAGCTGGGAGAATATATACTTATATCTATGAAAGCTATAAACTCATATTTGCGTCAAAGTTCAAATACCAAGTTAGTCAGGTATCTATAACTATGCTAGACCATGCATTAATAGATGAATAAAACAAGAGAAAACAAAAGCATCATATGAATATTTCACATACAGTGAAAAATCATACTATATCAGTTTAATAAAGAGATAAAAGAGAATATTAGATAATACTAATGTTTTTAAAAAAGCTCTTAGAAAAGAATGGGAAAACCAAACACTATTTCAAAATAATAATTAAACTCTGTGTTTTATATAAACCACAGAAAAACTGGCAAATATTGCTGGACAATTTGTGAAAAGGAAACTTGGTGAAAAGTAAGAATCTGTCCATCAAAATGAAACCTACATATGACAGTGTTAGTTCCTTTGATTAAATCAATTTTCCTAAATCAACTTGCACAAACCTCTTTGTCAGAGAGAAAAGTGTGTGGGTGTGTATTCATAGTATCTATGAATGTATTTGTGCTTCTCTACATTGAGTGTGTGCATGTTTAAATATAAGAGCAAGTTTTTCAATACGAGTGAGGTGTTGTCATGTCTGCTCATGCTAGTACATGTGTGTGTCTCTACAGAAGTAGCTCATATGCACATGGGTAATTAGTTTTTAGGGTTTTCTACAGTATCCATATGGTATCATCCTCCCACTGTCCATTCATTATGAATTTGTTAGTATTACTGAGGAAAAAAATGAAAAAAGAAGAAAAAAAAATTACATTATAATAAAAAATCAAATCAAATAGCTGTTATAGTCACCAGGTTGATGCCCCTGAAATTGCTCAAGATTACATGTGTTAACTGAAAAAAAAGAGAGTAAGGAATTGAACAGACTTCAGATTACTTTGTGACGCAACCACTTGACGAAAGCAAAAAAATAAGTATGACATGTGGAGTTATCACACAAGGCTTCATATACTAGATTGTGGTAATCAAAATGTGGTATTTATGATCTTTAGCTACATTTTCACAGTGTAAAAAAAAAGTAGCCCCTGGAGATTGTAAAAAAAACTAAGGTTTTACAGTAAATGACATATTTTAACATGATGTCCCTCAAGTAACATTCATGAAATTTAATCTAATTTTTTTTTTCTAACTTGTATATATTCAAATGGCGCTACACTCGAAACCTGTACTTCAAAGTATTATGAACTTGTTTTAAAAAACAAGAAAAATTACTATTGACATCTATATGTCTGGATTCCTAATGCTGACATTCCTTTCTCTTTTATTATTAGCTTCTCCCCTCCAGGAAAAAAAATGTCTAATCAAGCGTACTGATTTTCACCTGTGGTTCTTTTCACAGTCTGTCACAGATTAACTAACACAGGAATATGCCTGTTATGTAACAGCACAATCCAAAACAAGCCTGCCCACATCTAGAATCCAGTTATTAGGATTGTGTGATATCTGTTTTAAGATAAATGCTTCACTTACATTTACTTGTTGCAAATGGGTGTGTTAAAGAGATTCCACTGGAGTCCTCTTGACTGGACAGTACATGCATGCCACAGTAAATTTCATACAATGTCTTACTCTAATAATAATAAAACTAATAACAATAATATGAAAAACAATAAAAAAAACAGTAATAATAATAATAATAATAATAATAATAACAATAATAATAATAATAATCAGTCTGCATTTGGCTTGAAAATATAGTCATACTAATTTGATATTCTGTACTGAAGATACTAAGATAAAAATATTAACATAAGATATGTATTACTAACATAAATCATTCTTCAATTATTCAACAGTAAATAAAATCTTTTAACTTTCTCATACGGAGTTTGACCCCATGCATTTTACTGTGCCATTTCCATTATTTTTCACTTTTCATTTATATATTTTTTTAAGGATCTGGCAGCAGATATTCATCTGTTCTCAAAGAAAGACACAAAAACTTACAAAACAAATCATATAGTCATAAGAAAATAAAAGCTTTAAAATAAAGGAGAAAACAACTGTCATTCTGCTTGATCATCAAACCAGACAATCTCCATCATAAAAATGTTAGTATGTGTTAATACTTATTCTGGCAGGGCTATTCATAACCATCTTTTGATCAATGATATATCCAACTGATACCCTGCTGACTCTTGATTCCCCCAAATCTATTCACAGTTGTCTATAGATATGCCAATTACGTAAATTTAATCTGCCTATTAACAGAGGTTTAATACAAATACTCTTTGCTGTGACTTAACTTCATCCTACAGAACTATTTGCAAAGGAGATGATATAAACACCTCATAACATTTTCAAGGGACTGGTAAAATTTGAGCCAGTATGATACTAAAACAAAAACATGACAGGGACAAGAGACGACACCTAGAACCCTCTCAGCCCCATGAAAATGTCCACC